AAACAAAACCTGTGTTATCTCTATTGGCTGTATTCACATTTAATACTTTGAACAGGGGAAACTCAGAGAGTGTTCCTGGAGTGCTTTTTGTCTGATGTTTGCAGGTCTGAGCACTGTTTGAAACTTGGCAACATAGATTTCTCCTCAGCCATTCCTATTAATCAAGCAAACTATCCGGAAACTAGGAATTCCCCAGAATGTCAGCTGTTCTGTAAAAGAAATTGCTTATAAATATTTACTGGGAATGAGGCTGCATGAGACAGAGGAGAGATGAAATGCATCTATAAACTTGTTACTAGAAAGCTGTAATGCTTCTGGGAAAAACAATTCACTGGTCACTGAAGGTGCTCCCTGGGATTGTGATCTTAAAACCTTCTGGTTTAAAGATGCAAACATTGCAAGATTTATTCAGAAAAACAATTACCCACAACTCCACTGATTTCAAACACTGGTTCTACAGGTTGTGTGATTCATACTAGCCTCTTGATAGCTCTCTGTTAAGTTTTTTACTTGCATGTGGAGTAGTCTCCATTGCTGTTTCTCCAGACACACAAATCTGAAAATGCACTTACATAGCCATGTGTAAGGATTGTGAAAGACGTCTGTCCTTTCAGCGTGAGGGGCAGTAAGTTTTGATCTATTAGGAATTCAGGATGAAAACAGGAGGAGGTATTGTATTGATTATAGAAAAGAAAATACAGAGCATGACATATGCTTCCCTCTTTAAGAAATAGCAAATTATTAGTGTCCTAAGACACTTGAGAAATGTCAGCAAATCTGTTCCGGCATACAAATATACATACTACTAGGAAGTTTTTCTTAAAGTTGAATCTTCTTTGATGTAATTTAAGCCCATTATATTTTTCCCTACCCTAGGCTGGATAAAGAAGAGTTTATTAGTATTTCTTTTTTCAACTACCTTTTCTCTAGTTGAAGACAGCTGCACATCACCTTGGGCTCCTTTTCCCTAGACTAAGGAACATACATTTCTTCAGTCTGCAGGACGTCTAGACCTTTGATCATTCTTCACAGAATCACAGTATCACAGAATTATTGAATGATTTGGTTGATCCAAACAGACTGACCCAAAGATCATCTAGTTCAAACCCCCTACCATAGGCAGGAAGATCTTTCACTAGCCCAGGTTGCCCAAAGACACATCCAATCTGGCCTTGAAAACCTCCAGAGATGAGGCATCCACAGCTTCTCTGGGCAACTTGTGCCAGTGCCTCACCACTCTCTGAGTGAAGAATTTCTTCCTTATATTATTTAAATATACCCTCTTTTAGTTTAAAACTGTTACCCCTTGCCCTGTCACTATACTCCCTGACAGAGAGTCCCTCCCTAACTTTCCTGCAGGCCCCCCTTAGGTACTGGAAGGCCGCTGTAGGGTCTCTCTAGAGCCTTCTCTTCTCCAGGCTGAACAATTCCAACTCCCTCAGCTTGTCCTCATAGGAAATGATAATGCTTATGGCCTTCCTCTGGGCTCACTCCAACAGATTCATGTCCCTTTTGTGCTTGGGTCCCCAGAGCTGAACACAGTGCTCCGGGTGGGGTCTCACAAAGGCAGAGGAGAAGGGGAGAATTACCTCCCTCAACCTGCTTGCCATCCTTCTTTTGGTTCAGCTCAGGATACAATTGGCTTTCTGAGCTACAAGTGCACATTGCTGGCTCATGTCCAATTTTTCATCCACCAATATCCCCAATCCCTTCTTCACGTGGCTGCTCTCCACCCATTCATTCCCCACTCTGTACTGATATGGGGGGATTGCCCTGGTTATTTCCTTTGAACCTTCCTGCAATAGTCAGAAGTCCTCAGGAAAACAAAGTCCCAACCTGGACCCAGCCTCTCAGCTGAGCCCATTCCAGTGCTGAGCAGAATGGAAGATCATTTCAGCTTTTTTAGCAATGATGCTCCTCTTTGTAGCTCACAATATAATTTTACCATTTTAAAAACAGCATAATATCAGTGGCTCAACTTCAGCTGTAAGCCTTCTAAAGTGTTATCCTCATTCTGAAAGTTCTCAAACATATTTTGATTAGCACACTGCTATTATTATGTCTTTTGGTGAGAAATGGCTCTCAGCAGCAGCAAACAGAAATTATAGGAGGCCATTGGCTGGAACTCTGTGGTACTCAGAAGGGTTGTATTTCAAAGAAAAATGTGAACATGTGCTTTCATATATGCCTCTCTGTCTTAGCAAAATATATGAGCTTGTCTGAAGGGGAAGCAATAGACTTACAGCCAAATAATAATACCTTAGCATGTATTTTCAGTTAATTGTTGCAAATGCCGAATGTTGTTTTGTCATCTGTTATCAGAAAGAACAGCAGGCTATATTAAACTTCCTACTAGGTGCAAGGGATTCAAAGGAAAATGCACGGTTCCTGTACCTGGTTGGATTTCCTTATTAGCTACAGTACTTTTTTATGTTGTAATTTTTATTCTGTGTTCTCTGGAACCAAATACAATTGTTAACAGCCATATTCTAAGGGACATCTGGAAATAATGAAGAAAGCTTGAAATGTTTTCTCTACTAAGAACACTCTATCACTTAAATGAATGCTTCTAGGAATGCCTCAAGAATAGTATACACAGGATGGATCACTTCAGATTAGTTAAAATAATGATGCCTCATAGAAACCTTTTTAGCTCTTTCTACCTCAAACTGTGTTAAAAACAGTAAAATATTGGCTTTCAAATCCATTAGCAGTCATTGGATGGTTTCCTTTTTGAGTAAAACTGACACCAAGGGGAATTGTGAGGCCAGCCTGCAAGAAATCTATGTCAGAATTAGGCATATCTAATGAATTCTGGTCTGAAAGGTGCAGAGCTACTGTTTGATTAAGGAACTGAAGGACAGAAAATGGTCATAAAGCTACGTGAAACATTCCATGCAAAATTATGTTTAGGTACTTGCTGTTATTAAGGTGCACAAATGACAGAAGTTGCAGGAAGGAGAATGGGAAAACCATCAAATGGCCTGGGTGCAGATGTTGTGTACATCCTACTGAACACGAAGCAAAATCAAAGGCTCCATCTGTAGAGTCATTGATTACGGCCAACTCTCACAACTCTTCATGGACCACTGAGCATTCTTGGTCTCAAACTTTTAACTGTAAACACTTTTTATTTTTTTATTTTTTTTTCTTTTTCACCATTTCACAGACACCAGTGAGTTGTGGATTATAGTTATGGAGTCATTCATACAAACAGATTTAGATTACAAAACTTGTGCTGTCTTCTGAGGGTATAAAAGGCAAAATAAAATCTTAGTCTGAATAAATGTGTCACAATGTTAACATTTCCCAATACCTGTACTAACAAACTAGATAGGATAACTTCCAGTACTTAAAACCAAATAAGAAACTGGTGTTATAGCTTTAGTTTGGTTTAGGTTATTGAAGTTTATTTTCTTTGTACACAGAAATAACTCCAGATCATTTCAAGCTGTTTGACCCCAAATCTGTTGCACACATTTTTTTCTCTCTTTTTTTTTTTTTTTTTCTTTTTGCCTCTTTGTTGGCTGTCTCATTCTTTCATACAGTCAGACGTAAAAAATAAATAAATAAATAAATGTGATATATCTAAATTTGAAAAGTGAATGGTGTTATTTGAGAAACAAAAAGCTTTAACACATAAACTCTGCCATTTATTTATTTTTTTAATTTACTTTTTTTATCCATTGGATTAAAATTTTCCGTTGTGCCAAGCATGGAAATTCCACTAATATCTTCCATCACATACAGTATGCGGCTACAGAACTGACCAATTTGTCATTCTTATGTGAAGTCAGATGCTTATAGTTCACTTTTTCCCCTATTTCCTCTACATTTCCTTTTACATCCCAATGCAAAGTAGGTATGAGGGACCTGAGGTTCACTTCACTGTTCTACAGATAATGTGAGGAGCCAAAAAAATTAATTTGATGGATGGAACAGTTCTTGACGAGTTGTATTATTGGTGATTATACAGCCTTCCCCTTTCTTAAAGAGCTGCAAGTGTCACTGAGATGTCTAGCTGGAAGTAGACAGACTACACATGAAATTTCAGCAGCTTTCTTGCTGCTTTGTTTCACATTAATGAGGGCTAATCTTTAAGAATGGAAATGAGGTGTTATCAGTTAGGAAAAATAATGTTCTCCTTAATAATTGGCCATCTAAAACCTCTTTAATTAGCTCCAGTGGTTCACGAGGAAACTTGCTACCTCCTGTTCTGAAGGTGGTGTTAAATTCCCCCTCTCCAGTTCTCAGAGACATTTTATTAAATGATGTGGAACTGAACAAGGTAAAACTGGCAAATACCTCCAATATATTTGCAGTAAATGTCAGGTTGTGTAAAAAACAGTATGAATAAAATTTTGATTAAGCTTTGAAATATCATTTTATTTTTATAACTCTACAGAAGATTCAACGAATCTGGAATCCACTTGTTATATATAATTTTTCATCTCGTTTGTATCATTTCCATGGAAACTTAGACTTGAATTTTATTGTTAGTCAGGGTGACTGAGTCAGGTAGTTGACTGACTGAGTCAGGTGACCATAGTTCATGATCAACAAGAAGGGCAGAAAACAAGACCCAGGAAGGCTTAGGTTAGTCTAACCTGTCCCTAAAAACACTATGGAGAAGATTATGCTAGGTGCTGTTGAAAGGCATTTAATGAATGGGTCTTTTATCAGGCATAGTTAGCATTAGTTTATGAAAGGAAACTCCTGACTTTGCAATTTGGTGTCCTTCATAGTCATCCATAAGATGTGGATGACTTGGTGGATGAAGAAGGAAGGGGGGAACATTTGGAGTGGTGGCATTTGTCTTCCCAAGAAACTGTTATGCAGAACAAGCCCTGCTGTCCTGGAAGTGCCTGAACTGATGCCCCCTGATGGGAAGCAGTGAATTAATTCCTTGTTTTTCTTTGCTTGCATGCACAGCTGTTGCTTTACCTAGTAAACTGTCCTTATCTCAACCAATGAGTTTTTGCACTTTTACCTCTCTGATTCTCTCCCCCACTCCACCTGGGAAGAGTGAGTGAGTGGGTGTGTGGGGTCAAGCTGCCTGCTGGGACTAAAGCACAACAGCATTAGCAATGCAGTCAGCAAAGACATCGAGGCTGTCACACTGTGGTGTGACACTGTGCTGCTTCTGGTGAAAATGGCTACAATATTATATAAATTTCAGGTGACATAAGAAAACTTTATGTGATACAAATATATGATGTAAATGCCTTTATTCTTATTGTTTTTGAATATCTGGAATGATAGAAAAAGTATTATTCTTTTTATGCTTGGTTTTGTTTCCCACATATGTGATATCAGACTGTATTTAACTTTGCAAAGAAAAGAGATTCTCAAAATGCTGATCAATAGTGAAAATCCATAATAATTATGGGAGTCAGTCATGTTCTCCGTCCAGCATTGATGACTTTAATATACTGAGTGATATCTGAGAACCTTCTGAACCTGACCATTTGAGGATGAGAGCTTCCTCAGCTCCTTCTCTTCTTCATGTTGAAGAACAACGCTGATGGATGTGTTACTTGCTAGCTGCTTAGCTGCACTGCTGTAATAAGTATTCCCAGTGATATCCTCTACCTCCTTATGTATTAAGGATTCCGAAGGTCTGAAGATAGAAGTACATGAAAGAGGAGAAGAAATAACAGCTATTTCCCTTTCAGACCAGATTTCTTTTCTTGTAGCTGAAAAGAAATGTGATATGAAAATGGAAATACTGCTCATTTCATAAGGGTTTGATTTTTTCTTTGGGAAGAAATGGTCAGTTGGGAAATGGCTTTTTGTTGGTTTGTTTTTGTTTGTTAGTTTGTTTTTAAATTTAGCTGAACTTTCAAAGCTCAGAGTCAGTGCTGTGGTGTCACAGTGACTCAGTGACCTCATTGAATCTCAGGCAGCAGAGACACAGCAGGTTTGGATTTCTCAGTATTCCCAGGCAACTGTCCTGAAACAAGTTTTCTGCTGGAGATGAATAACCCAGAAACACTGCTCCTCAGTCAATTTTTGTGCCTCAGACTTAGCAACGACATTACCTGAATAATACTAACAGATCTTTACTGGTCAGACTCAATTCTAATTTAAGTGCCTATGTGAACATCTACATTTGCTTTTACATTTCTGCACAGATTTAAGAATATATTTTCCAATTTACCCATGTCCACATGGCATTCTGCATAAAAATAAAGCTATGATACTACCCAAATAGGAATGCTCCTTTCTAGCCTGAACACCATCTTCATTTTAGGCTATTTTTTTCTTGTAGGATAAGTCTAGACTTGTCTTTATGGGTAATCATCTAAAAAGCATCTTGTAGGTCTGCACTGGGAAAATGAGAATCTCATTACAGGTATCTGCCATTTGTTGAGATGACTCAGCAACTCAGTATTTCACTAATGGAATACTTTTCTTTTTAATACATTATAATTATTAAATAATTATAATAATAATTAATATATTAAATTTCATTTTAATATGTGTATTAACACTCTTTTTAGTGGGCCATGAAGCTCTAGAATCATAGAATACCTGAGTTGGAGGGGACCCACAAAGATCACCAATTCCAGCTCCTGGTTGCCCAAAGGACTACCTCAAAAAATCAGACCACGTGTCTGAGAATGTTGGCCAAATGTTTCTTGAACTCCGGCAGGCTTGGTGCCATGATCACTGCTCTGGAGAAGATGAAGTTCATGATCATGCAAGACTCTAGACTCTTCATGGCCAAAGAATTGGGTTATCTTTCCGATTAAGAAAACTGCAAATTCTTGTAGAGAGTAATGGTTTTTGTGTGGCTGAACTAGTGTTTAGGGTGTGACAAAGTGGGAATATACTTTGAGGATATATGTTAAAAAATGAAAGTGAATAAATAATGTGAAAAAGACTAGGCTGCACTGTGAATTTGTTGTGAAGGATTGGTGACATTGTGAATAATGTTCTGTCACAAGAGAGGAAATTAAATGAAGGAAAGCTGTGCTCTAAAGAAAATGCAAGACAAAAAGATTGATCTCTGCTAAGTGGAAAAGACTAGCATTTATATTCAGAGAAATATCACTGTTTCATTTCTAAAAAGTTTTCAGAAAAAAAAAATAAAAAGAAGCAAATGTCTGAACACTTTCTTTCATTTCTCTGCATATTTATTCACCTTTTCCCAATGAACATGAATTCTAATTGAAGTCAGAAAACAGACTTGTTTTGATTGCAGTAGGAGGTAAATCAAATAGTCACAATTCCTGTTGATATTAATGTGAATTCTATATGAAGGTTCATAGAAATCAATGATGCAGATCAGGGAAAATAATTTAAATTAAAAAAAAAAAAAGAGTAAATAGAAAATTTAAAATATATTCCTTATATATATATATATATACATTTTTTTTTTCTAAAAAATAAATGTATACATGTCTGACTGCATCACTAACAGTCAGTAGCTATGCTCTGGGTGCTGGTTACTCTTGGATCTCTATTTGTTTAAATAGACTTGCAGGCTGTCCTTCTGTATTAATGTCAGTCTTTTGCCTAATATCAGGGTTAATTCCACAACACCACAACATCAACTTGTGGGTAGTTTACAACCTTCTTAAAAACAGTACTGTTCTTGTCATTTTTAATATACATAGCAACAGCTGCAAGACAGTCTTGTTAATTTTTTAAGATTCTGTTGTCAGGAAGGGTTTTATTTTTATTTATTAATTTATTTATTCTGGTGTGTGTGTTCAGATTTTTTATAATAATTGTTGAAGTGAACGCTCTAAGATTGTCAAAATATATATATTTTTGAAAATATGTAGATTCTGGGATGTTGTTAGGATACACAACCACCTAGATGATTTTAGAAGAGTCAGTAATTACCTGACTATAAAATATGACTGTGGAGATGACTGAGGCCTTGGCATAAGCAGGCTTTATGGAATGTACTTGAAAAACACTTTCTTGTTGTTGGTGGTGGTTTTGTTTGTTTTTGTTTACAAACCTGGTTAACAAGCCGAATACTTAAACTGTCTGAAAGCTTCAATGAAACTCCATTTGACTTTAAGTTGGCTCATACTTTGGCAGGAAAGGATAAAAGCCTGGGAGATTGACCTTTGCTTGTTCCCTAGAGTGTAAACAATTGAAAGATAGATATGAACTGATCCAAATTCTCTGTAGGAGCGTTTCTCCTCCTCTCAGTATGTACCTCATATTGGTGTCAATAATAATTATGCATATTCATTGAGAGGTAACAGAAATTTTAAACTGGTAACTCTTCATAAAATCTTATTACCACTGCTCCATAGCCTATGGATCAATAAAGCGAGTTAATAAGCATTAGTCAAAATCCTGTTGCAGCAGTGGCAATAATATAGATAAAATGTTTAATATACATTTATTGCTTAGTTACTTTCCAAAGAGAAAAGAGTTTATAAAAGATGTGTTTTGTGATAGATTTTCCTTTTACTGTCTCTCTATCACTCAGCACTGGTTTTTACCAGTGAATAGCATCAGGTGTGAGCAGAGTAGTTTATATTTTAATAATTTAAACACTGAATTAATAAATTTTTTCATACAAAAACTAAGGTGGGAGTATACAATCCCACATGGTTAAGCATTCCAGTCAGGAAATGTATGGGCAATCTTCATTTTACTCTCTGATGAATAATGCATTGTGTTACATCCTTTAATTATATGATTGTATACCACTTGAATAATATTTTTTTTCCCAACAAGTTTAAATTACTAGTTTATGTGATTTTCTAGTACTATGTATTATTAGTTGTATGCTAGGAAGAATTCAAGAAAGTCTTTTATATAAAATCACATAGCATGCTGATGTTACTCAAGAAATTTATAAATAAATCACAGTTTCTGGAACACTGTTCATCTTTAGATCTCAAACAGCCTTACAGATGGATTGGTCTTAATCAAATGTGACTAAGGCAGAACTCAGCAGCATTTTGATTCCTATAGGTCAAGGCACCTGATCCCACAACAGGATATATTTCTGTCATAAGGAAAGATATGCTTTAAAATTAAGAAACAATCATAGCTCTAATGTTGCTAATGACTTAGAAGGTACCTTGCAGATTGCCTTTACTCATAAAGAAAACTAATTATGAATGCGCATACCAATAACATGTAGCCTGTGTCTGTTGTCAACGCATCTTCTACGGTCTTTGCTTTTGAAGTTACACAGGCTGCTTGTAGCAGGAATACTTGCATTCTGTCTGCTACCAGGAGGCTGCAGAGCTAAGAGTCATTGGGATGCAGAAAATGAGCCCCCTTCCTCTCTACATTGTGCTGGTTTGAAACTGAAGAGGTAGTAAGAGGAGGTAGAAGAACCACTTTCCTTCCCAGTAACTAGAACTATGGAGAAGATAGGGGAAAGATATTTATGCACCCACACATTCATACATTTGCTCTTGATACTTCTCTTTAGTAAAAGCTAGAGAAAAAAATGAAGTAAGAGCCACTTTTGTAGTGTGGAAAATGACAAAATGGACTTCTCAGAGCATATAGCATTATCTCTTTTGTGATGTTACTACCCTATTGCATACATCATGCTTTAGTCACAGCACTTTTCATCACTTAAGAACATTGTATTGAAAATGCCATAGGTAGGTGTCCAAATATCACCTGTGACAAATATCACCTGTTACTTTTTTATTTTATTTTTTACATTCTTTAATAGTACTGAAAATAACCATGTGTCTGCATTTTGGATTTGCTAGGGGATGGGTAATCCTGGTAAGATAGATCCAGCACATGCAGGACATAATTACCTAAATCATTCATATTTTGTACTATGATTGATCTCATCATGCCTTTCAGCAGGCATATAAAATTAAAAGATCATGTTAAAGAAATTCTTGTAATCCATTTATAAATAAATTAAGCTTTACAGCTTTCTTCATTCTGCATGTATGATTACAATGCTCTGGATCTTAGCATCCTTATGCCTAGATCAGATGCCATATTGTAAAGTCTATTTTAAAATGTTATTTTGAATAAGCTCGATAAGCATTAAATGGGGTAAAAAATTGTTTTGTTGCAAGCCAGGAAGAATGCATACTTGATTAAATATCAAAGATCAAAATTTACAAAATAATACCATCAGAACAGACACAAATTCAGCTTACAAGCATTAAGGGAAGACATGATTAAATTGATTATGATGTACAGCATTAGTCATCGTTACTATACAATTGTGCTGTGTCTTGAAATCTCTATTCTACAGTAAAAGTAAGATATTTTTTCATCAGACTAATATATAACATCTGGAACAAAATAATTACTGCAAATGAATTCAAGAACTGTGACAGAATTTTCATGTATATATATATTTGACGCACTTGCTTCACTAGATAAATTATCTTAATAGCATGATATAACAGAACTCTTTGTTAGTCATCTTACCAGGCATCTGTGAGACAAGTCTTTTGTATAGTACTTTCTTGTCACTGTTTCTGTCAGGACTTAAAAAAAAAAAAAAGAAATAGTAGAGATGGATGAATATTCATCAGCTTGGCCACCAAATTCTAAAGAAATGAATGGTCCTACAAAAACTTGTCTCTCATAGTTGCAGTTAGGTCAGATAAATCACAGAAACACAGAATGGCTGATATTGGGAGGGACCTCCAGAGACTCCCCCTGCTCAAGCAGGATCACCCAGAACATGTTACACAGGATGCATCCAGGCAGGTCTTGAATATCTCCAAAAAAGGTGACTCCACAGCCTCTCTGGGAAGCCTGTTCAGTGCTCTGTCACCCTCTATTTCTATTTCTCTCTCTAGGTTGGAAGAGACCTCAAGATCATCGAGTCCAACCTCTGACCTAACACTAACAGTCCTCCACTAAACCATATCCCTAAGCTCTACATCTAAACGTCTTTTAAAGACCTCCAGGGAGGGTGACTCAACCACTTCCCTGGGCAGCCCATTCCAATGCCTCACAACCTTTTTGGTAAAGAAGTTCTTCCTAACATCTAACCTAAAACTCCCCTGGCGCAACTTAAGCCCATTCCCCCTCGTCCTGTCACCAGGCACGTGGGAGAACAGGCCAACCCCCACCTCACTACAGCCTCCTTTAAGGTACCTGTAGAGAGCGATAAGGTCACCCTTGAGCCTCCTTTTCTCCAGGCTGAACAAGCCCAGCTCCCTCAGCTGCTTCTTGTAAGACTTGTTCTCCAGACCCCTCACCAGCTTGGTTGCCCTTCACTGGGCTCACTTGAGCACCTCGATGTCCTTCTTGTAGTGAGGGGCCCAAAACTGAACACAGTACTCGAGGTGCGGCTTTACCAGAGCCGAGTACAGGGGGACAATCACTTCCCTAGGCCTGCTGGCCACACTGTTTCTGATACAAGCCAGGATGCTGTTGGCCTTCTTGGCCACCTGAGCACACTGCTGGCTCATATTTAGCTGACTATCAACCATCACTCCCAGGTCCTTCTCTGCCTGGCAGCTCTCCAACCACTCATCTCCCAGCCTGTAGCTCTGCTTGGGGTTGTTGTGCCCCAGGTGCAGGCACTTGGCCTTGTTGAACTTCATACAGTTGGCCTCAGCCCATCGGTCCAGCCTATCCAGTTCACAGTAAATTCTAAGTAAAGTCTATCCAGATCACAGTAAAGAAGTTCTTCCTCATATGGCAATGAAAGCTCCTGTGGTTCAATTTATACCCATGACCCCTTGTCCTATTGCTGGACACCACTGAGTAGAGTTTGGCCCCATCCACTTCACATTGTTCCCTCAGGTATTTGTAGAGGTTGATCTGTTCCCTCTCAATCTCCTTTCTAGGCTAAACAGGCCCAGCTTGCTCAGTCTTTCCTTGTAGCACAGATGCTCCAATCCCTTAATCATCCTCATGGCTCTGTGCTGGACCCTCTTTAGAAGTTCTACGTCCCTCTTGTACTAATGAAGTAGACAAAGGAAGTGGACAGGAGAATGTATTTACAATAAATTTCTCAAGTATGGGTTCATACACAGCAAATGTAAAAATAATTTAATTCACACCATTGATCATTCATTTTAGTGGCCTCGCATAGCAACCTCAGTTTGCATGTGACTTATTTTGTAGAAATTTTAATTAAGGATGTTTACGTTCCATTGAGATTAAAACAAGAATACATGGGAAGAATTGTA